TGCGCTGGTGTAGCCCAGAACCAAGCTTGATCTTAGGGGTTTCGAAGCTTAGGTTACAATTGCGGAAACCTCAATTGTGGTCACCTGATGCCTTTGAGTGAACCGGTTTATCAGAGTCGTTCGCTACACTTCCCAGAGTTGGTGGATATACTATCTATCTCCATAGGGACTACTCCAGAGTTCTCAGTCTTGGGGGAGTAGTAGCTGGTGGCCTGGCTTCTTCTCTGGTAGCTGAGCTGGATCTGGTCAATCCTATCAGCTGTTGCTGCAGCTGTGGCTAAGTTGATGGTACTGGTGGGATTAAGCTCCAGTTGTTCCTGAACCCTGGGTTTAAGCCCTCTGATAAACTTGTCTAACTTTTCAGCTTCTGACAAGTCATCCACCTGAAGGCATAAAGTATTGAACTGGTTCAGGTACTCCTTTACTGAGCCTTGTTGTTTGGGCCTGGCCAACTGGTCTCTTGCTGCTCTGGTGGCATTTGCTGGGAGGAAGTTCTCTTGAAGGGCTCTCTTGAACTGGTCCCAAGACTGGATTCTGAGAGGGGATCCTACTGGGTGGTTCTTGACATGGCTTTGCCACCAGACTTCAGCATGGAGTTCCAAGTAGGTGGTGGCTACTAACAGTTGGCCTTCTGGTGATAGATCTGCAGCTGCCTGGAAGTACTCTTCAAGTCTGAGGAGGTATGTCCTAATCTCTTGGACATTCCTGTTGCCTTTGTAGGGCTTCAACTTGCTTTGGAGGACTTTTACCAGGGATTTATCTACTCTGGGTTGGTACTGAGCAGTGGCTGGTGTGGTGGAGTTCAGCTGCTGGAGCTTTGCTTGATAAAGCTCCTGCCTGACCTGGTCTATGTCAAGCTCAGCAATGGTGTTGAAGAGAATCTCTTCCTGGCTGGTCATGGTGGTAATGGGGTGGAGTCTTGGGTAGTTACAATATTACTTGTAACAATAACAATAGGGTGGGTCACAGGCCCAAAATATGCAATATTACTTACAAGTACAACTGGTGGGGAGGATACAGGGGGACTGTACAGCTTCTTCACAATCCCACAATAGAAAAGCTCTATCTGTTTTATCAGAGCTTCTAATGCTAACCAACTGATAGGTTCACCAGAACTATCTTCTACAATCCTTTTCAGATGACCTAGTTGTGACTCAAAGAGGGGTTTGAGTTCCAAGGGGATCTTCAGGTCTGGTGTGCTGCCAGCAAAGTAGGTCTTTGGATTCTGGATGCTGAGGTGTTCTGGGGCAAGAGTCTGGGTGTGTCTGGTAGTTGTTCTGGAGGTTGTGCTGGGGGTAGGTTTGTGGTATGGAGTGGTGTGAGCTGGTCTGTAGGAGTCCTTGAGGGGGGTTCTATTGAACTTAGTGCTTGGAACACTGATTTCCCGTGTAGAAATCAGTTCTGGAAGGCCTAGTAATGCCTGTGGCCGCTAGCAAGACTTCTGGGTGCTGTAACTTGTGGGATAACATGCTTGTATTAATCCAGAGACGTTCAAAAGCCCCCTTTATATAACCCAGTACATTCTCCAGCCTCCCTCCACCTTTGTTTACTGTTTACATGCTTCAGCCCACTTGTTTACATGCTCAGCCATGCTCAGCAATGCTCAGCAGCTTCAGCCATGCCTTGGCAAACATTACCTGAAGATCTAGATCGTTACAAACCTTCCAGACCTTCTAAGAGTGCTTACATGATGATTTACCCCTTAAAATCATTCCCACACGCATCTGTGATCATTCTGATTACTCTAAGTCCAATTCCCCACGTTGTAACTTAGCCAAATCAGATGTGAACTGTCTAATGACATCCCAGCATGATCTCACATGATTTATAGATCATACAGTGTGGTTGAATCTCAACAGGTTCTGGGCATAAGTTGGGTCTGGGATAAGAGGCAGGGGTCTTCTGATATTACTCAGAAGGACTAAGGCTGGGTCTGGGGTCTGGGGTCTGTTGGTCTTCTGATATTACTCAGAAGGTCTAGGGCAGGTTCTGGGGGTCTGGGGATCTTAGCTTCTGATCTCTCACAGAAGGTCTAAGAGTCTGGGGTTGTTGTCTAAGGTGGTGCTACCATGTAACAGGCTAGCAGGGACAAGAAGACAACAGTCAACTAGGGAAGACTTGGTTACTACTTGTTATTTTTCCTTGAGGGGCCTCAGAGAGGTCCTCTTTTTATAGACAAAGGGGCTGACAAATGCTATATCCTAACTACCCAATCAGATCTCACCCACATCATCCTAAACTATTTGTCAGCCTATTGCACCATTTGCAACCAATCAGAACTCATACATGTCATCCTAAATACACTGTGCCACTTGATTGAAAGGGGCAGATGCCAGTGTGTCAGAATACTCATCTAATTTGGCCAGAAATGGCTAAATCTGCTTATTTATCTAATTCTGGTCAAATGAATGCTGACACCATCAGCAAAGTCATGTGACCACTAGTTTGGAACCACATCTAACCAGTATAACTATAGCACTGACAGAAGAATTCTGTCACAGGGCCAATTAGAGCATTTTCTTGGCATTCAAGTGCTCAGGGACAGAGTCAACAGGTCAATCTGGCTCTCCCAACAGCGGTACCTCAGTCAAACATTGAAGAAATTTAATATGAGTAACAGCAAACCAGTTGCCACACCACTAGAGAATGGCCAGAAGCTCACCAAGGCCATGTCACCACAAACTGAGGCAGAACAGCAAGAAATGAATGGGGTTCCTTTCAGAAGTGCTGTTGGAAGTCTCATTTATGCAATGCTGGGCACCAGACCAGACATAGCAGCAGCAGTTGGATCAGTTAGCCAGTACCTTTCCAACCCTGGACATCAGCACTGGATAGCAGTCAAACGGATCATGCAGTACCTGAATGGCTCCACAGACCTAGGACTTCAACTGGGTGGCATTCAGAGCAAGTGGGAGCTATCTGCATACTCTGATGCAGATTGGGGCGGTGATTTGGACTTCAGGAAGTCTACCACTGGCTTCTTAGTCAAGATTGGCAGCAGCACAGTCAGCTGGCAAAGCAAGAGGCAACCCACAGTCGCTCTATCATCAACGGAGTCAGAGTACATGGCTCTTTGTCAAGCTACCAAGGAAGTTATCTGGTTCAGAACACTTCTAGGCGAGCTAGGATATCAGCAAAGTGGTCCTACAACATTGTATGGTGACAATCAGGGCGCCATAGCACTTGCCAACAACCCAACACATCATGCAAGGACCAAACACATTGATGTGCGGCACCACTTCATCAGACAAGCAGTAGAAGACAAGAAAATCAGCCTCAAGTACTGTCAGACAGAAGAAATGATGGCTGACATTCTCACCAAGGCTTTACCCAAGACAAAGTACCTTAAACTTTGTGGTAAAATGGGTCTCTGTCAGAAATCAGATGATTCACTGAGTGGGAGTGTTGAGATTCAGGCTTAAACCACGCTATATCATCTATAAATCATGTGAGATCATGCTGGCATGTCATTAGACAGTTCACATCTGATTTGGCTAAGTTACAACATGGGGAATTGGACTTCGAGTAATCAGAATGATCACAGATGCGTGTCGGAATGATTTAAAGGGGTAAATCATTATGTAAGCACTCTTAGAAGGTCCGGAAGGTTTGTGATGATCTAGATGTTCAGGTAATGTTTGCCAAGGCATGGCTGAAGCTGCTCAGCATTGCTGAGCATGGCTGAGCATGTAAACAAGTGGGCTGAAGCATGTAAACAGTAAACAAAGGTGGAGGGAGGCTGGAGAATGTACTGGGTTATATAAAGGGGGCTTTTGAACGTCTCTGGATTAATACAAGTGTGTTATCCCACAAGTTACTGCACCCAGAAGTCTTACTAGTGGCCACAGGCATTACTAGGCCTTTCAGAAGTGATTTCTACATGGGAAATCAGTGTTCCAGAGGTGGCAGTTCATGCCACTGAACTTTTCCATTGTGAGTTTGGTGTCCAAGTCTGTGTTTGACATGTCTGAGCTGATTGGGTGAGTGAATTTGCTGTTGGGGAAGAGGTGAAATTGCATCCTGGTGTGGTAGGTGGTGCAAATATGAGGTTGGGAAGAGGATAGGTCTGTCAGGAAGATGGTGTGGCCATCAGAAAAGAGATTTGAAGCAGGAAAATGTAGCGAATGACTCTGATAGACCAGTTTGCTCAAAGGCATCAGGTGACCACGATTGAGGTTTCTGCAATTGTAACCTAAGCTTCAAAACCCCTAAGATCAAGCTCGGTTCTGGGCTACACCAGCGCAGCGTGAAGGATATGTTACACAGCCATGATCAATCATGGCAATGGTCCGAGATGGGAAGATCAGATGCCGCCACCCTAATGAAGGCTACGGAAACTAGTGTAGATGTTACCATAGCATATTCTTGTATAAAAAGACAAATTCAAAAAAATAAGTCAGCAGGGCAGAAGCCATAGCAACACAAAATCCCCACAACTAGCTTCTCAACTCCAATCTTAGGTTACCAGGAACCTAACAGAGCACTTCAACAGCCTGATCACCTGCACTGAAGCCTCTAAATCCTGCTCGGTTCACAACTAACCAACTCTTCTTGCCTCTCACCCCCAATTCACTACCAACACCCAAAGAAAGGATTCAGAGACTATGATTCCTAGTACGGACACCCACATAACCTGCTAGGAGACCCAAGTTGTCTTTACCGTAGTCTACCTACAAAAAATCCATTACATGGTGGAGAAGCACAACAAACTGCCTTCCCCTCTCAAATTCAGCTGAAAACCTTATTTGGTCATACCAAAACTCTTGCACAAACCGAGATCCACTCAGGTAGCTACTCAGAAACTTTTTCTCTTGTTTCGGAGACAGAACTTCATGAAACCGAGAATGATGCTGGTCAAACACTCACCAACATGAGGCCACTCACCTGTGATCCAGACTCATAGTCAGGGTCCTGCAGAGGACGTCAAAGTCTCTCCCGCAACACACCCAAGGCATTCAGGGACCACTTCCATCAAACCAGAAGCCCCTAACTTGGCCATGATGGCCTCTGAAGTGGCAGCATTAAAAGAAGACATTGCCCGCTCAACTGCTGCAATGCAGTTGGCAACTCAAAATCTTATGGAACAGCTTCATAGGCTTTCTGAATGTCAGACAGCGGTGGATGAGCACCTCACATGAGCCTTAGAAGCCCTAGCGCATCACCCGCTGCCTGAACAACCTCTCATAGCACGAGCTACAAGAGAACGGTCCGCAACCCCGTGGGAAACGGCGGACACACCAAGGGAGCGTACCGAACCAAGTTTTTCAGGTGCGGTGCCTCCAATCCAAGTGCCAGTGGCCCCGTGGGCCAGCAACACCAAGGTCAATTCCTTGAAAGCAAAGGACATACCCAAGTTTACAGGCAAAAGAAACCAAGACATTGAAGAATGGCTTAACAAAGTCCAACTTCTTCAAAACATTAGCACAACATCAGATGCCAGGATGGTACAGCTCCTACCAGCCATGATAGCCAAGAAAACCCCTGCCAACACCTGGTTTTACACTCTGGAAGCCCAGGAAACTTGCTCATGGACCTGGAAAAGGTGGAAGGAAGAACTGCTTCAAGAGTTCCGAGACCCCCTAACCGAATCCAAGCACAAAGCTGAATATGTGTGCTGTCATGCAAACCCCAAAGAATTTCACAGCTTTCTTGCATTCATCAACCACAAAACTCATCTCCAGCACCTTGCTTATGGCGACTGGGCAAACATAGAATGTCCTGCTGACCAGCATTTCAACCTAATAGTCAAACAATTGCCCAGCAACATCCAAATCATGGTCAAATCCTGTAACGTCACGAAGCTGACCAAATTAAAAGACTTCCTGTGCCTTTATTTCGGCTCTGATGACACCAGAAAACGAGACCCTTGCTACAGCGGTGCTGCTGAAGCTCAGAAGAAGTCACAAAAGACCGCAATCGACAAAGGCCCTAAGCAGACGGCTCAACATAAAACCGGAAACCCCGAAAAGGGTCGCGACGGCCCTCAGAAGATGGTTCCGGACCCCAACACAGAACCACCAGCACCCTGCAAATTCTGTCAGAAAAAGCATTGGAATGTTTTCTGCTGGCAGAACCCGAACCGAAAAGATCCTGAAGATGGAAAGAAGGGACCATATGGAGCACCCATGCCCGCAGGTTGGAAACCCAAACAGGAGTCCAAGAAGTCATACATAGTGGAGCTGGACTCGACGTCCGCTACCACCGAGACTCTTTTTTCGGCTTCGGAACTGGAAAGGACAGCCGCCGCTAATCAAGGATTCCACACCATCGGATTCTTTCATTCACCCGAGCACTCGGAATCAACAATTTTGATGACCGCACCTCTTTCCAAGGTCACGGTGACCAAGGAAGAGGACCCCCGCATGCCCACGCAGGGCTGGGACCAAGTCTGGGACAACATAGCCATCATCTGGGGCACCCCGCAAGTGGCTCTGATGATGGGCAACAACCCCCGCGCGCTCAGCTTCTTCGCCAAAGAACCGAAGCGAGGCACCGGGCACCTTGGGAACGACCCCTACGCAGTCGCGTGGAGTTCCCACCACCTCTACATTGCTGCCGCAGCCGAAGCTGACAAGGATCGAATCCTGTGAAAAGTCCGAGAAGACGGTACCCCTCGTTTGATCCTCCTTGCCTGGATAAGGCTCAACGAGTGTGAGAAATTCTTGATGTGGAGCTCCGAAGATCCTGTTATCTTTGATTCTTATGCCAACCTGCAACTGGTGGCATTTCTCCTGACAGGCAATATCGTTCGCTCAGACTATTATTATCATCACGGAAACCCCAAATTTCTGCACGTTAAAGACCATCCACGTCTCCAAAGACACGAAGAGAGCGAACGGACGCGTATAGTCATGCTGGCTATCGAACAAGTTGCTCGCCAGAATAAAACAACAAAACCACAAAACAACAAATCTAGAGAGCACTTTGAGAGTGCAATCAAGGCTACAGAAGCAACAAGTAACGACATTGCGCCCCATTTCGAGGTCACAGTGCCTTCCATCAACGCCTTCTACTTGGTAGATTTAGGCAATGTACTCAAAAGCCAGACCAAGACCCAAACACAGCCTTGCTGGATGCTAGCCATCATCGCTCAGCTCTGGGCACCTGTGGTACTAGACACAGGAGCCTGTGAGTCTCTGGTTTCCGACACGTACCAGGGCCTTCTGTTCTCCAAAACCGATTTGCAGGATGCAGAAATGATGGCTTTCAATGGCATTGGTGGACATATCTCATCTACCAAGACAGTATGCCTTGAAACTTCCCTCAGAGGCTGCGGAGGAGAATACCTGACTTTCTGCGCCTATTTCCAAGTCATTGCATACAGGAAATCTCTCATCATCCTAGCCAATGACGTTCTGGGACATTTGAAACTCCAAACCTTGGTTCAGGAACCCCTGTTACCCAGTTTCGTGGTGATGCTCAAGAATCCGGACATCCTTATCCCTTGCTCCATAACAGATGAGCTGGACACCGATCACATGCACAGCATGCCATACAAGACCAAGCAGGGCGAATTCATGAAGGATGTGTCAATGCCACGGCTGACCAAAGCCAAAGCTCAGAAGTCTAGATTAACCATGTTAATCACGGGACAGACGCGCATGGCAGCCCAAACTTTTCTCATCGAAAACCCTCTTGAGGCCACCGCAGCTAGCTCAACACCCCTGTTAGGCCTTGTGACAGAATTCTTCTGTCAGTGCTATAGTTATACTGGTTAGATGTGGTTCCAAACTAGCGGTCACATGACTTTGCTGATGGTGTCAACATTCATTTGACCAGAATTAGATAAATAAGCAGATTTAGCCATTTCTGGCTAAATTAGATGAGTATCCTGACACACTAGCATCTGCCCCTTTCAATCAAGTGGCACAGTGTATTTAGGATGACTTGTCTCACTTGTGATTGGCTATAAATGGTGCAATAGGCTGACAAATAGTTTAGGATGACATGTATAAGATCTGATTGGTTGCAAATGGTGCAATAGGCTGACAAATAGTTTAGGATGACATCTGTCAGATCTGATTGGTTGCAAATGGTGCAATAGGCTGACAAATAGTTTAGGATGACATGTATGAGTTCTGATTGGTTGCAAATGGTGCAATAGGCTGACAAATAGTTTAGGATGATGTGGGTGAGATCTGATTGGGTAGTTAGGATATAGCATTTGTCAGCCCCATTTGTCTATAAAAAGAGGACCTCTCTGAGGCCCCTCAAAGGGAAATAACAAGTAGTAACCAAGTCTTCCCTAGTTTTCTGTTGTCTTCTTGTCCCTGCTAGCCTGTTACAGGCCTCAAACTGTCCACCACAACCCATAATTTGGTTGCAGACCCCAAAGAGAACATTTCCAAAGAAGAATGGCAGACACTTCAGAACAAATGGAACCTCAACTCTACAGAGAAGGCTCCAGGGGCCTTCAAAGCCCAATTAAAAGATGCAGAACGTTTCCACATTGATCTCAAGCAACCCAAACCTGTGGTCTGGGCCCTAATCAACATTCTACAACACTTCCATCAAGCCTTCAGCTATGAGGGTCATCTCATAGGGAACTACACCAAGATTCCTTATGCGCCTCGATTTATCTCGGCTCCGCCACCCCTTTCGAGGCCACGGTCGTACTCTCCGTTGGAGCGGACAGCCCTCGAGACGGAGCGAGACACCATGATGGGGCTTCAGAGGTGGAAACAAACCACCAAAGTAACCTTCACCAGTGATCCTGTTATCATTCACTATGCAGACAAACCCCCGCAGGTAGCCTTCAACTATCACCAAGCCAATGACTGCATGGCCTGGGACCCATATCCCTTTCCCATCATGCTCGACATCCTGAACTGGATCGTCACAGTCCCATTCCAATACATATCAGGAGGTGACACAAACAAAGGATTTTACCAAATCACCATCACCAATGTGTCAGTACGCAAATGGCTCATGATCAGACTCCATGACGGCATCTATGAACCACTCTTTATGCCCTTCAGACCCAAGACTGCCCCTTTGCACTTCTGTCAGGTAATGGACAACACCTTGGGTCCCTCCAAATGGCAAAATATCAACAACTTCATCAATGATATCCATACATGAGCAGAGACAGCCGCAGAAGCCCTAGATGCCATCGCAGACTGGCTCGACCGCTTTTCCAGAGCCAAACTCACCCTAAGACTCAACAAGTGTCAATGGCTCTTTCACCAGCTCACAGCTCTCAGTTTCATTGCCTCCTCCCAGGGTCTCACTACCAATCCAGACAAGGTCACAACCATAGTTGATTGGCCACAACCCAAATTCATAGGTGACCTATGGTCCTTCATGGGTCTCCTAGGGTTCTATGCCCAATTCATCCCTCACTACACAGAACTCATCTGACCCCTGCAAGATGCTATCCAAGAGGGCATTCATGAATACCAAGACCTTAAAAAGGGTCATGCTGACCCAAAGAAAGGTGCTGAAAAGCTCAATTCACCATCCATGCTCTCAACACGGCAGTGGCCCCTACAATCACAGCCACCAGAGCCCGATTTGAGGTTTCACATCATCCAAAATCTAGCTCCTCAGACCTACCAGCAGTCAATCTATGCCAATCATCACTGGCAGATGTGCCCATTGACCCCTTTTGTGTCAGACACCTTGCTTGCAAGCGCCCCAACCAAGGTCTGCACAGATTTATCACAAAGCGTGAAGTTTCATGGACTGATTCCCGAAACTCTGCCTTTGCAGCCACCAAACAGGCACTGACAACAGCTCCCGTGCTCGCAGCACCCAGAAAAGGGTTCCCCTACACCCTTCACAGTGACACTTCCTACACCATGTTTAATGTCACACTCAAACAGTTACAGCTGGATGCCTCCAAACACCTGCTGTGCTACCACTCCCAAGGCACCACCACCCTGGAAAAGAAGGCCCCACTGGTCAAACTCAAGGCCAGATGCCTCATTTGGGGCCTTGGAAAACTCTGCCCATACCTTGAAGGCCTGCCTTTCACAGTCATTACCAATCACCGAGCTCTTTTATGGCTTGCTAAATACAAAGGTGAGAACTGTAAGCTTCTCCGCTGGGCCCTCAATCTTAGTTACTGGTCTGAATGGATGACAATCATTCACAAACCAGGACATTTTCACATTGTCACTGATACACTTTCACAGCTACTAGGAGCGGAAACCCTTCTCTGCTCCACTGCGACCCAAATATGGGTGTCAGAACATGGAAGATGACGGCCACGCACCACACCAGCAGCTCTCACACCTTCCTCAACACTGGCAGATGCTGTCTTTTGTCTGGCATTACAGCCTGCACTCATTGCCACCATCCACACTGGCCTCACTGGCCAGCTCCACCCCATAACCCAACAGGCCTGCACACTCCTATGGGAGACCAGCCCCAACACCTACACTACAGCTGACACACACTTTCTTCAGGACTGGCAACGTGCAGATAACCTGCTGTGGCACCATTTTTCAGTCTCTGAAGACCTTTGGCACCTCTACATGCCCCCCACTTGCACCCCCGAGGTGTGCAAGCTTTTTCATGAGGGGGGAGGACACTTTGGATTCGAAAGAACCTACACCAGAGCCACAGCACAAGTCTGGTGGCCAAAGATGGCACAAGATTTCAGAAAACACTGCGCAGGATGTGAAATCTGTCAATGCTCAAAAAGGGTACTGCAACTGATTCTGGGGTTGCTGAAACCCATACCACCAGCTCCAGGATGCTGGACAGTCATCACAACTGACTTCATAACCAAGCTCCCACTTACTTCCAGAGGGTACAATGCCTTTTGGCTAATAGCATGTAAATGCTCAAAGAGGATCCATGTATGGCCCCTCAAGAGCACCATGACAGCTATTCAGGTCATGGAACTCTTCATAGAATGCTACATCCCATTGCACAGCATTCCGGAGACTGTTATCTTGGACCACAACCCCAAGTTTACAAGTCAATTTTGGCAGGAGGTCTGCAAAAACCTAAAGATTAATCAAGAGCTCACCACAGCCTACCACCCTCAAGGTGATGGACAATCAGAAAGAGACAATGCAACAGTCTTGCAGGTCCTTACCACAATGGTCAACACCCAATTAGACGACTGGGACACCTTTCTTCCGGTTGCGGAATTCATTATCAATGATACGGTACACGAGGCGACAAAAATGACGCGATTCAGAATGGACCTAGGCTATGAGCCCCACAATCCACTGGCGGACATCGTCGAAAGGCCGTCAGAAACCAGAAATGCAGATGCGGAGGAGCTCTGTAAACACCTCGGCGACCTAAACATCCTTATCCGAGATCTGATGATCGAAGCCCAGGATTCGCAGAAAAGATATTACAATTTATTGTGACAATATTTGGAGTTCCAGAGAGGAGATAAGGTGCTTCTGAGCATGAAAAACCTAGCAGGGTATGAGTCCAAGAGCGCTCCAAAATGGCTGGGACCAGTCACAGTGATCGACTGAAACCTTCTCCATGACAACTACGAGTTAAAACTGCCAGACAAGATGAGATGACTTCATCCATGGTTTCACATATCGAAATTACGTCCGTACCAGAAGCCTGTCGACGCCGAAACTGAGGAAAAGGTCGCGGAAGCACAAGCGGAGGA